TACCCCCAAATCCCAAGTCCGAACCTATACTCAAGATTTACTCAAAAATGGCACCAAAGAGGAACCAACCGGAGGGCTCTAACTCAAGGGGACCTATTCGAGGCTACGAGGATGTTCAATTTGGCCCGGGGGATCATCGGAAGCGATTTGTGACCGCTCTCAAAAGGCAAGTTATCCCATCTCGGTTCTTATGCCATGACGCTCTTACTTCTCTTGGCTTGTTAGATGGTATGAGAGAACTATTTGATGAATTGCATATGGGCTTGATTTTTAACTTGCAATATAATTGTAATGAAAGAATCATCTATGAATTTTTGAGCTCGGCCAAATTTGCATTGGATGAAAATCATTTTTATGATGACACTATCACGTTTCGGTTGATGAACACCGAATACACTATAACGAGACGTGATTTTGCCGAACACTTTGGGCTCCGATTCCCACATGAAAGGGAGATTCCGGACAACACCATGGATGCTTATAATCTTTGGGGTAAAATGACCGGAGAACGGAATTTTAGCACGTCTCAACTATACATTAGTCACGTGCAACATCCCCTTCTCCGGATTTTCCTCAAATTTTTGTGCAACTCTTTGCTCGGCCGACCCAACAACCATCACACTCGGATAGGGGATGTAGCTATTCTCACTCTTGCTCTTTTCCGCAATCCCGTTGAGTTCAACATTTGCAACTTGATTTGGGATCATCTACAGAAGGCTATCACCAAAGGGGGAAACATTGTTGTAGGGGGTGTTATCATGCATTTGGCCTCCAAGTTTGGCTATGTGGATAATGCCACAATCTCTAGAGATTCATTGATGCATCTTGGATGGTTGTCCAATGCACAATTGATCTCTTTGGGTAACAAAGACCACAACGGAAACCAAAAATACAAATGGCATATGAAGTACCCCGAACCGGTCAAATACTTCCCCCTCCCTTGCGATGAGTTACCTAGACTTAGGTATAAGATGGAGCCCGCCCACATCCCACATTACCTCCTCCCCAACAACATTCCACCCCATCTCCAAGCCCAAGCCGACCAAGCCGACCAAGCCGAACAACCCAATCCCCAACCGGAGCAACCCGAGCATCAAGAGGGACACGACTATTTCCAACATGACATCCCCGACCATCCCCAAAATCCGCCACCACAAGACTTTTTCCAACAACTCTTGGAGGGTCAACAATCCCTCCTAGCCGGTTTCCAAACAATGAGCCTTGATTACACCAAAATGGGAGAGCAATTCACTCAACTTCAAGGAGAAATAGGCCATTACCGGAACGAGCAACAAGCAAGGGAACGGCAATTTGATGCTTACCGGGAGGAGCAACGGTTGGCTTTTCAAAGGATGGAGGAACAAAGGGCGGCCGACATGCAAAGGTATGAAGAAGACTACCGGAGGATGTATGGACCGACATATTCGTACATGTCCCAACTTGGTGGGTTTGCGTCAATGGCCTCACCTCCACCGGCACCCTCATGGTATAACCCCTCCGATTGGGGGAATTTCGGTGGCTCTAGTTCCGGCGGCGGCTATGATGGAGGAGACACCACTATGGGAGAAGGGGGCGGTGATGACGTGCACGGGAGCGGCTTTGGAGGCGGCTACTACGGAGGAGAAGGCGGGCACTAGGGATAGTGCCATGCTTCAAGTGTGGGGGAGGAAGATCATCTTGTGGTATGTACACTCCTTTATTTCTACCTTGTACTAAGCATTATTTTCAAAAAAAAAATGAAATAAAAGAAATGAAATGCTAGTTAGGTTGAAAACCCAAAAGGGCAATCTAAGCAACAAGGGCTTACACACAAAAAAATGAGTGAGTGGAAGAGAAGGAAAAGAAAAGAGATGCTAGGATGAAAACCTGAAAAGGCTCCTAGGCAAAATGAGAGATATGAGAGAAAAATTTGTTCTATTTTGCAGGACACCATCTCTTGAGGAAGAAGAAGAAGAAGGAGAGAAGACAAGAAAAAGAAGAAATAGGAAGCATAGAAGACCGTTAAACCCAAGGAAATGTTGTTTTGTAACTTCATTCACTATACTTGGTGGTTTTAGTTTCTTATTTCTTCCTCTCTATGAACTCATGATCTTGTGATAAACATTGTATAAACATTTGGTTTTACTCGAGGTCGAGTAAAGGAACTAAGTGTGGGGGAGTTGACATTCATGTTATTTCCGTATTTATAATTGTGTTTTTGATTAGTTTTGAGTGATTGTTACTCTAGAAATTACACACTTTTGGTGTAAAAGTTTAGTTTGTAAAATAGTTTTAAATTGTTTAGATTAGGTTGATTCTGAGCTCAAACAGGTCCAAGACCACTCTAGGGACCATTGGTGAACATCACAATTGGAAGGAAAGTGCAAAGATTTCAAGAAAAGATGAAGATTCTGATTTTTGGTAGTGTACCCGGTCGAGTATGCCCTATACTCGATCGGGTAAGTTGCTGAAAAGTCAAATCGGATAAATCCGGGAACAAGGCAACATGCAGGAGGATTTTCTAACTCGATCGCGTATCCATACCCGATCGGGTAGCCGACATACCCGATCGGGTATGACCCCAGAATTTCAGTTTCGAGGAAACTAACCCTTACCCGATCGGTTGAGCTAAAAACTCGATCGGGTACACGACCCTGCAGGCCTAAAAAGCCTATAAATACACCCCATTTCCTCCACAAGAAGGACACCAATTCTTATATACTTCTAAGCTCAGTTTAGACAAGTTCTTTCTTTATATTTTTATCATGTTTAGTCTCCAAATGAGGAGCTAAACTCTTCCCTCTTGGTTTTGCTACTTTGAAGCTTAATGATTTGTAAGTTGTGAGTTATCTTCTTTAATCTTCTTCCTTGAATATTAATTACTTCCTATTCATATCCCATATTAATATATTGAGCATTACTTAAAGTATAAACTAGTCTTGCTCTATATATTAATTATTACTAGAATCAATCGGTTAATACGCTTGTTATTAATTCGGTTCTTTCAATGGTAGTAAACTTGGATTGCTAATGCATGCTTCTCATGGTTAATAATCTAAGGGGAATTAATTATATTGATTAAACCAATAAACCGCTTGTGTTGAGGTTATCAATCTCAATCGTTTTCATCTTAAGTTTATTGCTACTATCAATTTAATATACGGCGCTTGTCCTATATTGATTCGATAGTAAGTTTTATTAATGAACGCATCTCGTTATTAATAACTACCCTCGATGAACTGGATATACTCCTCGATTGAGTATTCGAGAGGAAGATAGTTAAAGATATAACCGGGATCGACGAACATTTCATTAAGTGGATAAAAGCAAAGCCAAGTCTTCTTCTCATCAATTAAACCACATAACTCGTTCATCTTCGTGTTCAATTTTAATTGAATTATTCAATCAAAACCCCCCTTTATATTTACTAGTTTATAAAAAAGAGAAGTATTCCTTTCCCTGCGGATACGAACCTTACTTCAATATACTACGTATATTAGTTGTATTGTATTTATTTTGAGTGCACCTCACGACAAGTGCACGTCACTAGTATTTACACAATAATTCAAGCTCTATAGGCAGTGAATCTAAAAGAAGTGCAATAACATTAAAATAAGCCGTCCCATACCTAAACAATTAAATAAATTGTTCAACTTGTAAAATAAATTTCTCATACAACCAACATTCAGAATCCAAGCCATATTGCAATGTATCATTCTCAACTTGTCCTACTACCCATATCTCAAAATAATTAAAAAAAAACACGACAGGCATTAATTTCTCAAGTTTATGCTCCTATTACACCAAAATAAGCTAGTAACTCTGTCGTCATCTTGCCGCGGTAAGCATTAATATCTTCGGGCCTCAGGTACTCCACATCTTTGCCCATCATTAGATACTCAGCCATCTTCAACACAAACATCCCACAACTATCACTGTGTGGCAATAAATAAAATCATCAATTAATGACTTAGTAATCAATTCTACCAAACCATCATTGAACAAATCACATACCTATCATTTTGTTGTGGGCATTCTTTCACCATATGTATCTGCAAGAAATCATCCCCAATAGGCCCCTCACTTCACTCATTGTACACTCCTAGCTTATCCATCAGTCTAGGAAGAAGATTAAAGAAGATAACTCACAACTTACAAATCATTAAGCTTCAAAGTAGCAAAACCAAGAGGGAAGAGTTTAGCTCCTCATTTGGAGACTAAACATGATAAAAATATAAAGAAAGAACTTGTCTAAACTGAGCTTAGAAGTATATAAGAATTGGTGTCCTTCTTGTGGAGGAAATGGGGTGTATTTATAGGCTTTTTAGGCCTGCAGGGTCGTGTACCCGATCGAGTTTTTAGCTCAACCGATCGGGTAAGGGTTAGTTTCCTCGAAACTGAAATTCTGGGGTCATACCCGATCGGGTATGTCGGCTACCCGATCGGGTATGAATACGCGATCGAGTTAGAAAATCCTCCTGCATGTTGCCTTGTTCCCGGATTTATCCGATTTGACTTTTCAGCAACTTACCCGATCGAGTATAGGGCATACTCGACCGGGTACACTACCAAAAATCAGAATCTTCATCTTTTCTTGAAATCTTTGCACTTTCCTTCCAATTGTGATGTTCACCAATGGTCCCTAGAGTGGTCTTGGACCTGTTTGAGCTCAGAATCAACCTAATCTAAACAATTTAAAACTATTTTACAAACTAAACTTTTACACCAAAAGTGTGTAATTTCTAGAGTAACAATCACTCAAAACTAATCAAAAACACAATTATAAATACGGAAATAACATGAATGTCAACTCCCCCACACTTAGTTCCTTTACTCGACCTCGAGTAAAACCAAATGTTTATACAATGTTTATCACAAGATCATGAGTTCATAGAGAGGAAGAAATAAGAACAAACCGAGGTATACCCGATCGAGTAATCGGGGTACCCGATCGGGTACACGAGTTTTAAAGACATTTTTGAGCCGAAATCAGTTCATCTTCTCCAAAGCTCTTGCCCCAAATTCGAACTCTCTCTCTAAAAACTCCATTTTCAAACCTTATTTCTCCCATAACTCAACCAAAACTCAACCAAATTCCACCAAATCACCACCAAAACACTCCCCTAACTCCCCTCTACAACCTCATACCAATCAATCTCACCTTCTCTCCCTATTCCCAAAACTCCGAAACCCTACCCCCAAATCCCAAGTCCGAACCTATACTCAAGATTTACTCAAAAATGGCACCAAAGAGGAACCAATCGGAGGGCTCTAACTCAAGGGGACCTATTCGAGGCTACGAGGATGTTCAATTTGGCCCGGGGGATCATCGGAAGCGATTTGTGACCGCTCTCAAAAGGCAAGTTATCCCATCTCGGTTCTTATGCCATGACGCTCTTACTTCTCTTGGCTTGTTAGATGGTATGAGAGAACTATTTGATGAATTGCATATGGGCTTGATTTTTAACTTGCAATATAATTGTAATGAAAGAATCATCTATGAATTTTTGAGCTCGGCCAAATTTGCATTGGATGAAAATCATTTTTATGATGACACTATCACGTTTCGGTTGATGAACACCGAATACACTATAACGAGACGTGATTTTGCCGAACACTTTGGGCTCCGATTCCCACATGAAAGGGAGATTCCGGACAACACCATGGATGCTTATAATCTTTGGGGTAAAATGACCGGAGAACGGAATTTTAGCACGTCTCAACTATACATTAGTCACGTGCAACATCCCCTTCTCCGGATTTTCCTCAAATTTTTGTGCAACTCTTTGCTCGGCCGACCCAACAACCATCACACTCGGATAGGGGATGTAGCTATTCTCACTCTTGCTCTTTTCCGCAATCCCGTTGAGTTCAACATTTGCAACTTGATTTGGGATCATCTACAGAAGGCTATCACCAAAGGGGGAAACATTGTTGTAGGGGGTGTTATCATGCATTTGGCCTCCAAGTTTGGCTATGTGGATAATGCCACAATCTCTAGAGATTCATTGATGCATCTTGGATGGTTGTCCAATGCACAATTGATCTCTTTGGGTAACAAAGACCACAACGGAAACCAAAAATACAAATGGCATATGAAGTACCCCGAACCGGTCAAATACTTCCCCCTCCCTTGCGATGAGTTACCTAGACTTAGGTATAAGATGGAGCCCGCCCACATCCCACATTACCTCCTCCCCAACAACATTCCACCCCATCTCCAAGCCCAAGCCGACCAAGCCGACCAAGCCGAACAACCCAATCCCCAACCGGAGCAACCCGAGCATCAAGAGGGACACGACTATTTCCAACATGACATCCCCGACCATCCCCAAAATCCGCCACCACAAGACTTTTTCCAACAACTCTTGGAGGGTCAACAATCCCTCCTAGCCGGTTTCCAAACAATGAGCCTTGATTACACCAAAATGGGAGAGCAATTCACTCAACTTCAAGGAGAAATAGGCCATTACCGGAACGAGCAACAAGCAAGGGAACGGCAATTTGATGCTTACCGGGAGGAGCAACGGTTGGCTTTTCAAAGGATGGAGGAACAAAGGGCGGCCGACATGCAAAGGTATGAAGAAGACTACCGGAGGATGTATGGACCGACATATTCGTACATGTCCCAACTTGGTGGGTTTGCGTCAATGGCCTCACCTCCACCGGCACCCTCATGGTATAACCCCTCCGATTGGGGGAATTTCGGTGGCTCTAGTTCCGGCGGCGGCTATGATGGAGGAGACACCACTATGGGAGAAGGGGGCGGTGATGACGTGCACGGGAGCGGCTTTGGAGGCGGCTACTACGGAGGAGAAGGCGGGCACTAGGGATAGTGCCATGCTTCAAGTGTGGGGGAGGAAGATCATCTTGTGGTATGTACACTCCTTTATTTCTACCTTGTACTAAGCATTATTTTCAAAAAAAAAAATGAAATAAAAGAAATGAAATGCTAGTTAGGTTGAAAACCCAAAAGGGCAATCTAAGCAACAAGGGCTTACACAAAAAAAAATGAGTGAGTGGAAGAGAAGGAAAAGAAAAGAGATGCTAGGATGAAAACCTGAAAAGGCTCCTAGGCAAAATGAGAGATATGAGAGAAAAATTTGTTCTATTTTGCAGGACACCATCTCTTGAGGAAGAAGAAGAAGAAGGAGAGAAGACAAGAAAAAGAAGAAATAGGAAGCATAGAAGACCGTTAAACCCAAGGAAATGTTGTTTTGTAACTTCATTCACTATACTTGGTGGTTTTAGTTTCTTATTTCTTCCTCTCTATGAACTCATGATCTTGTGATAAACATTGTATAAACATTTGGTTTTACTCGAGGTCGAGTAAAGGAACTAAGTGTGGGGGAGTTGACATTCATGTTATTTCCGTATTTATAATTGTGTTTTTGATTAGTTTTGAGTGATTGTTACTCTAGAAATTACACACTTTTGGTGTAAAAGTTTAGTTTGTAAAATAGTTTTAAATTGTTTAGATTAGGTTGATTCTGAGCTCAAACAGGTCCAAGACCACTCTAGGGACCATTGGTGAACATCACAATTGGAAGGAAAGTGCAAAGATTTCAAGAAAAGATGAAGATTCTGATTTTTGGTAGTGTACCCGGTCGAGTATGCCCTATACTCGATCGGGTAAGTTGCTGAAAAGTCAAATCGGATAAATCCGGGAACAAGGCAACATGCAGGAGGATTTTCTAACTCGATCGCGTATCCATACCCGATCGGGTAGCCGACATACCCGATCGGGTATGACCCCAGAATTTCAGTTTCGAGGAAACTAACCCTTACCCGATCGGTTGAGCTAAAAACTCGATCGGGTACACGACCCTGCAGGCCTAAAAAGCCTATAAATACACCCCATTTCCTCCACAAGAAGGACACCAATTCTTATATACTTCTAAGCTCAGTTTAGACAAGTTCTTTCTTTATATTTTTATCATGTTTAGTCTCCAAATGAGGAGCTAAACTCTTCCCTCTTGGTTTTGCTACTTTGAAGCTTAATGATTTGTAAGTTGTGAGTTATCTTCTTTAATCTTCTTCCTTGAATATTAATTACTTCCTATTCATATCCCATATTAATATATTGAGCATTACTTAAAGTATAAACTAGTCTTGCTCTATATATTAATTATTACTAGAATCAATCGGTTAATACGCTTGTTATTAATTCGGTTCTTTCAATGGTAGTAAACTTGGATTGCTAATGCATGCTTCTCATGGTTAATAATCTAAGGGGAATTAATTATATTGATTAAACCAATAAACCGCTTGTGTTGAGGTTATCAATCTCAATCGTTTTCATCTTAAGTTTATTGCTACTATCAATTTAATATACGGCGCTTGTCCTATATTGATTCGATAGTAAGTTTTATTAATGAACGCATCTCGTTATTAATAACTACCCTCGATGAACTGGATATACTCCTCGATTGAGTATTCGAGAGGAAGATAGTTAAAGATATAACCGGGATCGACGAACATTTCATTAAGTGGATAAAAGCAAAGCCAAGTCTTCTTCTCATCAATTAAACCACATAACTCGTTCATCTTCGTGTTCAATTTTAATTGAATTATTCAATCAAAACCCCCCTTTATATTTACTAGTTTATAAAAAAGAGAAGTATTCCTTTCCCTGCGGATACGAACCTTACTTCAATATACTACGTATATTAGTTGTATTGTATTTATTTTGAGTGCACCTCACGACAAGTGCACGTCACTAGTATTTACACAATAATTCAAGCTCTATAGGCAGTGAATCTAAAAGAAGTGCAATAACATTAAAATAAGCCGTCCCATACCTAAACAATTAAATAAATTGTTCAACTTGTAAAATAAATTTCTCATACAACCAACATTCAGAATCCAAGCCATATTGCAATGTATCATTCTCAACTTGTCCTACTACCCATATCTCAAAATAATTAAAAAAAAACACGACAGGCATTAATTTCTCAAGTTTATGCTCCTATTACACCAAAATAAGCTAGTAACTCTGTCGTCATCTTGCCGCGGTAAGCATTAATATCTTCGGGCCTCAGGTACTCCACATCTTTGCCCATCATTAGATACTCAGCCATCTTCAACACAAACATCCCACAACTATCACTGTGTGGCAATAAATAAAATCATCAATTAATGACTTAGTAATCAATTCTACCAAACCATCATTGAACAAATCACATACCTATCATTTTGTTGTGGGCATTCTTTCACCATATGTATCTGCAAGAAATCATCCCCAATAGGCCCCTCACTTCACTCATTGTACACTCCTAGCTTATCCATCAGTCTAGGTAAATACATTTGCATGCTCGGGAGGTAATGGTGAATGTGTATGTTTGTTTGTTCCCGACGAACGATAGAATCATACACACGTATGCACTTCTTACCGATATCCAGCACCAGCAGAATCCAGTGGTTACCTGTATTAAATTTCATATAAACACGTACTTCCCTACCTCACAAAACATACTGCCCTAAACGTACTGCCATGCATTACTGCCGTACACATACTGTCATAAATAAGTCACCACAGAAATTCAGTTGCATACCTGTATTCAGTGGCATGTAGACATGCTCTGCTTCAGCCCATGGCAGTGCGTAGTCCAAACGTGTCCCAAGTATGGTACACATTATATTCTTATTTAAAGCACTTTCTGCCACCGGCATTTGATTGCTAATGTGGTTCTCGTAATGCTGTTTGACCAAAGGCATAAACATAGGGTCTGTTGTCGTTAATTTCTGCTGCAGCTTGTATTGTTCAGCTTTCATCCTCAAGAAATACATCCCTAACTCCACATGCTTCACAAAACAATATTTTCAATATTATTCATTACTGCATTACACTCGAGAATATGCGTACTATGAAGAAAAAAATAATATTACACAATATAAATTTACCGTGTCACCTAACCAATTCCCTGGGAAGTAAATCGCGTAGTACCATGACTTCTTATCAATGGTTCCATCCCCGTATCCTCCTTTCACGCATTTGATCTTTAGGTCATCATATCCTGCCTTGTATTTCTTGTCCTTGCTTTTTTGGTGGTTTTTAATTAGTCCTTCATGCATGATTTTTGCTGTTTTTTCAAGCATTGCTGCGTTTGGCATTTCAGAAGGATCTAAACTGAACGGTCCCACTATTTCACGTGGCACATCGTCACCTATATCTTGCTCCTTTTCTTTATCTCGTTTCCTCCGCTTATCTTTTCGGGGCCCAGAGAAGGTGAATCTTTTTGGCCGTTTGGACTGTCGTTTTGGCATACCATCAACTGCCAGCGGGGTTGTGTCCCCAGTGTATACCTGAACGAAGCATAAAAATGTATTCATATATACACCCAATACACTAACTGCATTGAACATAATGTCCTACCTAATTTCCGATTCATTCATTCTCTACTCACTAAATAAACATACTGTCTTAAATCTACTGTCCTAAATTATTGCACACCCATTAATCTGCTACTCACAACATTTGAACAAGCCATTCACTAGTATAAATCTAATATCACTTCATTTAGTACAAAATCTAATATTCATTTATACTTACTGTCCTAAACATACTTTCCTAACTAATCTCCAATTCATTGACCTATTACTCAACCAATACGCATACTGCCCGAAACATACTTCCCTAAATTATTGCCCCACCCATAGTATGAAATCTTATATTCATTTACACATTGTCCTAAACCTTATTTACCACAATCTGGGAGTCAATTGGTTCTACACTTTTGTCGCTTGTTGGGTCAATGTCTTCAAAAACCTTGGCATTTTCAGTATGTACCACTTCGGCCTCTAATGCACTCCTGTCCTGCTTATCCTACATCACCACCAAAATAATTCAAATCACTATTATTTCAAATTCATGAGCTTTAATTCCCTGAAATATATAACAAGAGTATTATTACATTGTACAATATAATATTCAAATACCCCACTCAACTATAAAAGTTTATATGCACCGGAAATAATATACTAATCTTTGGACCTGTATAGAATTAAAACTTATGAATATAGAATAGTATATTTATTATAGCGAAACACCTTTTCACCATCCATTTCACTGCCTTGAACATTGTTGTTATTGCCCAACAATTGCTCACAAATGATATCAACCTGAGCACATAGCTGCTGTGTATCCAGCACTCCAATTTCTTCAATGCTCTGGAAATCATGTTGCTCCTCTTGCCTGTCCTCTTGCGCTGTCATACCAGACCTCATGTTTTTTTCAATCAAATCCACCTCCTTTACCAGTTCTTGCGTATTCATTGTGCCATCAATGTCCTTGAACATGTCGGTCTGTGTCAATTCCACATCGTCTTCGACCATCCCATCAACGACATCTGCTCTCTCAGAATCCTGTTCCTCAACTTCCTCGTGTCAATGATCTTGCTCCCTATCCTCTACCACGTTTTCATTAAAATCCAGACCCAAGTCAAATTTCGGCATTGCTTCCTCATCTTTCTTCTCTACTTTCTTGGACACTTTCTTCATCCTAGGCATCTTCCGCATTCTGCCTCTAATCGATAAAGCTTTCTTCAACATGCTGGATTGTTTCATTGCCAACTCACACAGCTTTTCAACCTTCGATTCTAGCTTTTTTATTCTTCTTCCTTGTAAAGTCACTGCTGCCATCACACTGTGTATCATGGAATCACCCTTCTCATCAAAGATACCTGTCTTTTTACTATGTGCTCTCACTCTTTTAGCAGCAACCTTACGCTTTGCAACCTTAGGCTCAATCGTTACTGCCTTGTGCTTCCATTTGCTCGGGCCCGGTTCTACAAAATCATCACTCTCACTTCCATCCCTACTACCCATGTCAGTAGCATCACTTGTGGATGCTTTAATCACCAACTCCATCTTCGACTCTTCATTAGTCAGCTTCATTTGTTCCCATTGTACCTGCAAACATAACGTCAAAACATGACTATATTACACCATTTGAAATACACAATTACACATAAAATTTTTTAGGAAGTAATTGCACCTGCTCATTTTTAAATACAACATCTTCAAGCACTTGTTGTGCAGGCCTAGCAGGAGCTGACCATTGCACTGTCCTAGGCCACAACTTTGAACCCTCCCTCCTCACGCACACTTTTGCTTTTTGAAGACCTGGAAATGTCTCGTATGCCCAAATTTGCAATGCAAATAGATAGCCCGGAAAAGTAAATCTTGCACCCGCTTCTTGGTAAAGAACACTTGCACACTTCCTTACTTTTTCTTGTAAATCATCCCATACAACGTCCCCCCATGGATATGTATTAAACTGCTCCATATCATCTGCCAGATTGATGTACATAGTGGGGAACTTTGTTGATGTTTGATTCCCCAGAATATAGCTGCTGAGAACATGCAATAATCCAAGCTTTACTGCATCCATTTTCTTGCTTCCGCTTCTTTTGGCCTTCCCTGATTCAAAAGCTGCTTTTATTTGCCCTCTTCCAACACTAGTCATGCCACTAAAGTATGTATTCCACAAATGCCCTGGATTCTGTGTGGATATGCTTGGTTTCTTCGTACCAAATGGAAA